TTCTCATTATGAAACTATAACCGAGTGTATATATATATATATAATCTTTTGTGTTTATGAGTCAGTCGGTGTTTATGTAAGATCATCTGTCTTTAATTTAACATATGGCATATTTCCATATGAGAGATGTTTTGAGAGTTTGTCAGGGTGAAACCAACCACATTTAATAACTACGTTTTTGTATTGTTTTAACAACTATATTCTTTTTTTTTTTTTGCAAAACATGCTCCTGTGTTGCTGGATGGTTGCCAGGGCGTTGCTTTGTGGTTGCTAATGTGTTGTGAGCATTAGAAAACCGCATGAATGAAAAAATAATCTGCTTTGTTTACATGTTAATTCCAGTGAATTGAGGTGTTTTGAAGCGACACACACACGCGCGCATACACACACACACACACACACACAGTTCATCTGAGGAAAACAGCCGCGGTTTCCAGAGAGAGAGAGAGAGAGCCAACAATGATGCTTTTTCTCCATGAAGTTGCACAATGAGGGACCCAGATTTATTCAGATTTATTCGCTACTTTAAGAGAAAACGGATACAGTCGCGTATAAAAGAGCCTCTTTGTGCGTCGTGTTCGGTCAGCCGAGGACAGCAGGTCAAAGGTCAACGCTGTTTGTAGCCAATAAGACGCTGATCTCACACCTCAGAGCGCTGTGACGTCATCGTGACGGGGGCGGAGCCAGATGTGATGTTTGTGATCGCTGGATTCGTTACACGGGACTGTTCATACATATAATACTAAGTAAAATACTGTGTCATTTATGAAATACAAAAATACAAAAATATATATATATATTTTTTAATTTTATGTGATGTTAACTTAAAGGTAATTTTTTAATTTTTATACTTATACAAGTAAAAAATTAAGAGGTAATATTTTATTTAAAATTTCATATATAAAATTTCACTTTTATATTTCTTATTTTATTTATGCAATATGATAATATATAACATACAATTTATTTATTTATTTATATACAAGTAAAAATTATTTATATACCAAAAACGCGTGTATATGAAGTAAAAAATTAAATAAAATATATATGTGAAATTAAAAATATATTATATATTATTATTATTGTTATTATTATTAGGGCTGTCAATTTAACACGTTGACTTAATTAATTAACTATTCAAAAATTACGCAATTAAAATATTTTAACGCAGTTAACGCACTGGCCCCGCCCCCAGGCCTGTACTTCATCTTACATTTAATACAGTTGACAAATATGATGCAGGGCAACAACTCCACACTGAAAGTCTCATATCTCTCATATCTTTTTGTCTTGTATTTATATGATAAGCGATATCACGAGCAGGGAGAGCAGTATCACCCGACTGCCGCTTTTGTCCTGATTTGCACGAGTGCAAATGTGACTTAATACAACAGTTCAGTAAATAAGAAGTTAATATTGTGTTATATTTTAAACAATATGGTGTGTTTTTGTTCAGTTTTGCCAATGAAAACATTACCTTTAAAGCCAAAGCAGAACTGTTGTGCGTCTCCGAGCAACACAGCGGTGTTTAGTTTCTGAATGAATCTGCGTTTCGAACGAATCGTGTGAATCAATGACTCAAAGCCCCATTAAAGAGAGAGACGTTTACTGAATTCCTGAATGAATCAGCCGTTTGAATGAATCGACTTATAAAGACATTTTCTGCCACCTGCTGATAGCTTTAGTTTCTTCTTTAGAGCATAATTTCATTTAAAAAAATAAAATAAATAAAAAACATTAAAGGGTTAGTTCACCAAAAATAAATAAATACATTTTGTCATCATTTACTCAGCCTCTTGTTGTTTCAAACCTGAATGAATTACCGTATTGTCCCGAATATAAGAGGATGTTTTTTTCTTGGAAATACATCTGAATAAACGCGGTCGTCTTATATTCAGGGTCTAGACTTCGACGTGTCAATAATACACCCACAACAATAGGTGGCGCCAAATAAGCATAAAACGAGTGTGTCGTGAAATACGTAATGTAGTGCGTGTTGTAAAGATCGCGAGTGAAAACAAGAGAAGCAGATGCACGAGTCGTGACTGTCACGTTAGTCTGATGGCACCAAACTCTCTGTGATTTTAAAACGTAAGACAGTACCCAGATTTGAAGAATACAGTAAGATTTAACTTCTACTGTTAATAAGATGTTGGTAGGCTACTATTAGATGGATAGCCTAAATGTGCTAATTCAGATGGGCTACCTGTTTTTTTTATGGTATATCAAAAAGTGTATATTTTTTAAATGTGATTGTTGGTACATTTGACCAGTTTTTACCATACTTTCAAAACAAAAATTAAAATAGGAAAAATATGCAATATGACAATAATTGAAGACAAAATGTGTTTTACTGAGAAAAAACAAGATTTGTTTTTTAAAAAGCCTTTTTCCAAAAGGTACGTCGGGATAAAGGGGGGTCGTCTTATAATCAGGGTCGTCTTATATTCGGGACAATACGGTACTTTCTTTTGCACAACATAAAAGAAGGTATTTTGAAGACTGTTGGTAACAAAGCAGTTTTGGTCACCAGTGACTTTCATTGCATGAACAAAAAATACTGAGATGTTTCTCAAATTATCTTCTTGTTCCATTCTTTAAGCCGCTGTAGCCTAAACATTTAACACAATAATAGCTTTAAATTCTTTCTTCTTTTGGGGGTATTTTCACAGCCATATTTACAGCACCCTGTAATAATTAGATTAAAAAAAAAACACTACTTGGCACTACGTTGACACGACCCAGCCCTAATTATTATATATTAATTAATAACAATAAAACAATATTTAAATGTAAAAAGATTACAATTTCATATACATATGAAATAATAGTAGTAAAATATATTATAAATTTAAAAGGTAAAAAAATATCTACATATATAAATATATAAAATAATCAATTTTTTATTTTATATACAAGGAAAAATATTTATATTAAAGGTCTTATTGTAAACAGTCAGTTGGTGAAATTAGCTGAGAATTATTTATTTATTACACCATACATATTATCATATTATACACCTGTATATATAAAGACAGAACAGAAAAGAATAATAATTTAATGTATTATGTATTACAATGTTTCAAGTTATTTATGCTATAATTTAACATATATATATAATTTATATTTATATATATTTATATTTATGTTTTTGTTTGTTATATTTCACCATGCAGGTGACTTTTTATATAAGCAAAGAAAGGAATTATATCAAATGTGTTGATCTTATTGAACATGAGAGAAAAGAGAATGTGTCTTCGTAATCTTTAATCAATATGTGCATCAACTAATGTTTCTGTCTGATGGCAGGAGTGCCTCGAAGTCCGTCAGTTGTGTGAGAATGTGTTTTTGGGAACGGTTCAAACTACGACAGAGGGTGTGTTCATCCACGCTGCTCTTCAGTCAGCATCACGCTCCCACAGAGCTGCAGAAGACGCTTTCTGACTCAGACACTCGTTATATGAAGCAGCTAAACTACAGGCGAGCTTCCCATCAGCTGCGCTGCAAATAGAGAGACACAATTCAGTTTGCACTCAATGCAACTCATTTCTATAACAGATTTGGAAGCGGCAGAATTTGACTGAATGCTTTGCTACAGAAAGGCGTGCGATGTTGCACAGGGAATTAGTGAGGCAGTGATGAAAGAGGGCATTCTGGGACAGAAAACGTCAGTATTGACAGAAGGTTGCCTGGAAAAATTAACTTGTCAATGGCAGTGTTATTTTTTTAAGTGTCAATGTGCTATCGTTAGATTTTATTCATATTTTGAATTAGTTTCTATCTTTGTTTTCCTTTTTAGTTACTAGTTTGTTTTAGTTTGTTACATTTTAGTCATTGTGTTGTGTTTTTATCATTTTTAAAAATATATTTTTATTAATTTTAGTCATTTTAAAAATATATATATATATATGCATATAATTTTTATCAATTATTTTTTCATTAGGGAATTTTGGCAATTTTGTTATTTTTGTCAATTAAAATATGCATATATATTTTAATTAATATATATTAATGTTTTTAATTAGTTTTTTTTAGGTTTTAATTAGGTAATTTTTTGTAATTTTTTTTTTCATTTTCTTTGTTTTTTTGTGTGTAGTTTTTATAATTTTTTATTAATATTTTGAATTAGGTTTTATTTGTATATTTTCTGTTTTTATTTTTAGTTAATTTAGATTTTGTTGTGTTGATGTTTTTTTTTAAATGTCTATATTTTTTATTTATTTATTTTATTCTATATTTTAAATTAGGTTTTATATATATATATGAAATTTTTTATGTTCTGTTTTAATTTTAATTTGAGGAATTTTGTTGCATTTTATTTGTCCATATAGTCTTAATTCATTGTTAATACATTTTTCAAATTCCATTTTTATTTTTAGTAGTTTGCCTGTATAGTTTATTTATTTTTAAAATTAATTTAGTACTTCTGCATAAACTGAATGAGAAGTGTTGCTTTTGCAACTAGCTGAAATAATAGCTGTTATAAAACATTTATATTTTATTCTATATTTTAAATTAGGTTTTATAAGGTTTTATATATATATATGAAATTTTTTATGTTCTGTTTTAATTTTAATTTGAGGAATTTTGTTGCATTTTATTTGTCCATATAGTCTTAATTCATTGTTAATACATTTTTCAAATTCCATTTTTATTTTTAGTAGTTTGCCTGTATAGTTTATTTATTTTTAAAATTAATTTAGTACTTCTGCATAAACTGAATGAGAAGTGTTGCTTTTGCAACTAGCTGAAATAATAGCTGTTATAAAACATTTAATAACTAGCCTTTTTAAAATATTTCGTTTCAGTTAGCGTTATTTTTACGTCAAGCAATGCAAATGTTTTTTTTAATGTTTTTTTTTTTTTAGTTTCAGTTAACGTTAATAACCCAGGCTACAGGAAAAGCTTCACTACTTTAAAAACACAGTGGACTTAGTAGTGTTGCAACCACAACACATGTATTCAGATCATTTGCTGAACTGCTTCTGTCTGTGTCTCAGTCATTCTGACAGACGAGGAGGTGCAGAGGAAGAAGGATCTGATCCTGAAGAGGAAGGAGGAGGAGGCGGCGCGGGAGGCACGGAAACCTCGTCTGAGCGAGGAGCAGATGCAGATCATCAACACACTGGTGGAGGCGCATCACAAGACCTACGATGACTCCTACTCCGACTTCGTCCGATTCAGGGTCAGCCGCTGGCTTCTAACTCCTTCCTAACATCTTCTGCTCACAGAGGCTGCATTTATTTGATCAAAAATACAGAAAAATTGTGAAATATTTTTAGAATTTAAAATATATAAAACACAGAAATATATAAAAGTATATATATTATATATCATGTAAAGTATATATATTTTCAGCATCATTCCTCCAGTCTTCAGTGTCACATGATCTTCAGAAATCAGTATAATATGCTGATCTGCTGCTCGAGAAACATTTCTGATTATTATCAATGTTGAACACAGTCGTGCTGCTCAATATTTTTGTGGAAACTGTGATGCATTTTATTTTTCAGGATTCACAGATGAATAGAAAGTTCAAAAGAACAGCATTTATTTCAAATAGAATAAAAATATTAATAAAAAAAATAAAAAATAAAGGACTGACCCCAAACTTTTGAACCGTAGTGAATGAGCTCAAATCGTTTCAAATCGTTTAAAATATAATAAACATGTTTTCTGCCTTTCTTCTGTTTCACGTGTTTAAATTCTATAACTTAAGGAACAAAAAATCTAAAAAAAAAACAATATATTCAGAAACAATATATATCATAATTGCATAAATCATCAATAGTCATCTAGCTGTATCTGCCAGAATAAATGAAATCTGTTTAATGTGTGATCTGGCTCATGTTCCTTTAGTGTCAACGAGAACCTGACAGTGGTATATTATTATTATTATTTGGAAAGCAGTATTATCAATGTTGAACACAGTCGTGCTGCTCAATATTTTTGTGGAAACTGTGATGCATTTTATTTTTCAGGATTCACAGATGAATAGAAAGTTCAGAAGAACAGCATTTATTTCAAATAGAATAAAAATATTAATTAAAAAAATAAAAAATAAAGGACTGACCCCAAACTTTTGAACCGTAGTGAATGAGCTCAAATCGTTTCAAATCATTTAAAATATAATAAACATGTTTTCTGCCTTTCTTCTGTTTCACGTGTTTAAATTCTATAACTTAAGGAACAAAAAATCTAAAAAAAAAACAATATATTCAGAAACAATATATATCATAATTGCATAAATCATCAATAGTCATCTAGCTGTATCTGCCAGAATAAATGAAATCTGTTTAATGTGTGATCTGGCTCATGTTCCTTTAGTGTCAACGAGAACCTGACAGTGGTATATTATTATTATTATTTGGAAAGCAGTCGTAATCATACTATTGTGATGAAAAGATGCAACTAATTCAGTGATTTTTCATAATTATTCCTGATGAATAAACACTTTTACAACCAATTGTGTTGCTGCTCTTCTGGGCCCGTATTCACAAAACATTATATCTTACCACTAAGAGTTCTCCTAAATAGCAGTAAAAGTTTTTTCTCTTAAAACCTATTCACAGAGCTGCTGAGACAAACTTGTGCTAAGGAATAGAGAGAAGTCTTAAGCTCAGAGTAAGGGGGCGGGGCTTACCTCGTTGCTATGGATGATGTCAGCGTGCTTATTAACTATGCACACAGTGATTGGCTGATAGTCTCTGTCAGGGATTTATTCATAGAAATATTGTAGAGCACAATATTATGTTACCATATTCAAATAAAGGTTTTAAAATAAAAATGTTAATTGCCATATATTCAGCTAATTGTCAGCCTCTATATGTATGCTTCTCGTAAACAATTAGTCAGTATGCATTAGGGCTGCCCTCAACTAAAGATTTTTCTGGTCGACTAGTCGTTGATTTTAAGCATTAGTCGACTATTAGTCGCACTTTTATTAATAAACCATATAAATCATAATAATGAGCCTCAATTGTCTACATAGCCTAATAAGCGCTCAAGCGCACGCAGAAAAGGCTTGCCACAGCGCCCCGGCAAATATAATAATTATGAATGTGTTTGGGAAAAACAGCAAGTACACTGCATTAACGTTTTAATAATTTATTGTTACACTAGTGCTTTCTATTTTCTGTTTAAGAGATGAAGTCGGCGACACTGACTCGTCGTCTCCGCAGTATGCACCTGCATGCATGTTTCATACGGATTACGTAATCGGAGAATATTTGTTTTCTATTTGAATTGGTTCATTTAAAAGTTTCACTCTCTATAGACATATTATTCATGTCTGTAATAAGGCAAGCATACACGGAGTTTCGAAGTGACGCGCTCAAGTTCACAGAGACCGAGACGGCAGAAAGCACATCCAGTTTGCTTTCATTATTTTACAAAAGCGCAACGTTTCGTTGTTATTCTGAGTGCACACAAATACACGTAGAGTCTTTACAGATACAAAAGATGCATTACTCTTATCTGTATGACCAAAAATGACGAAGTATTTTAAGAGCCAATGATCGCACCGGCGCCTCCATCTGTCCTGCTGTAGCCCAAGCACGCTAATGTTCAGCTTCCACACTCCGCACAAACACGTGAACTGCGCACTTTTTTCTAGGCTAACATTAGATTGAGCTGCCATGTAAAGTTGCTACTACATAAATTTTTCAGATCATAAGCCATATTTGAGGTCGATGAATGTTAGGACTTAGGAGAGCATATGGATGTCCTGCCCGATGTACTGTATTACTACAAAGACCAGCCGTTAACGATTTGTCCGTCACGGACTGCGTGATTTCGCCACTTCATGTGGAATTTTTTTTCTGCGATTAATAAAATTTTGGTAATATGCATATAAACAGCCTTTTAATTAGCAGAGTAGAATAATCATGGCTGATAGTGAGACATGCAAACGATAAAAGAAAACCAAACTGGACGCGAGAACAGCTATATATTCAGGATATAATCAAAAATTTGGAGTTGGGATAACCTCCAAACCAAAGCCGATACATTTTTAAAAGCTCATTATCGTCAAATGTTTCTAAAATGTTTATATTTCGAGGTAGATTGCTGGCAACAGCCATTTTAGGATAGTTTAGATTTGATCTTAGTGATTTAGGAGTCCTCTTCACTACTCCTAACGTTTCACAGATTTAGGAGTTAAAACGCTTTGTGAAATACTCTTAGAACACAAATTTAGGAGTCCTAAATTTAGGACTGACACGCCCATTATTTTTAAAGATTTTCTCCTAAATCGGCGAGTTATGAGCTACTTTTAGCCTTAAGATGTTTTGTGAATACGGGCCCTGGACTTTAATGACTCCAACACGTTTTTTTTAAAATATGTATGGAGTTTATTTTCTTTGAATGTGTCTGTAGGTTAATGTAGTTACTAAAGACTCTCCTTTTACAGTTATTTCATTTACGAGCAGAATTCGGGCTCAAGTTCTCCTCGTGAAACCTGAGCTGGAGTTCATGATGAGTGATGTTTTATAAGTGTAATTATTTCTGATGTTTGTTGTGTTCTCTAATGGAGGCTCCGTTCTGAACACATCCTGTGGATTTCCTCTCTAAGAGTTTGTGTAATAGTTTGTAATATCAGATGTTTTGTGTTTAGCCTCCGGTCCGTGAGGGTCCGGTCACCCGCAGCGCCAGTCGAGCCGCGTCTCTTCACTCTCTGTCTGACGCCTCGTCAGATTCATTCAACCATTCACCAGGTAACACACACACTATAATACCCCCTACAAATACAACTCATTATATACATTATAAACACTTTAAAAGAGACAGACGTGTAGATGTTTGTGAAAGATGTTTTCTGTTTTGGAGGAATGTGTTAATACTTTACTATAGTTAGGGGTGGATAATTTTAGGCTATCAGTTGTTTATTATTCATGCAACAATACATATTACTGTTATAGTTTTTATTAATAGCCATTGCTATATTATAGCAAGATTTATGAAAATGTAACTACTGTACTGAATGACATGTCATAGACTTCTTCATGGTTAGTGTTTACGTATTTCATTTCATTCTGTAACCTACTTGTTCATCAGATCTGTGTACTAGTGTTAAATGCTACTGCTTTTGACAGCGTTGATAACGTTTCTGACTGATAATATCATTATATATTTTTTTGCGTTTCCCGAATGTCGTATCCTGTCAGCAATAACCCATCCGTGGGCTTTTTTGTTACTGTCAGTTTAAGTGCCGGCATTGCAGTGTTGCCAGATATTGCTATTAAAACAAAAGAAAAAAATGAAAAAAAAACCGAAATTATTTCAAATCTTTTGCAAATAAGATAAAGATATCGCTGACCCTAAACCAAAACGTTCTACTTTATTATCTTTCTAAAGTGTTAAATTAAGTGAAAAAGACAAGTCCAAAAACGCTTATAATAGCTGGATCTCCACAGGACACCACAGGTAAATAGAGTAAAAATGTAATGATTTCACCATACTTCCTCAGTTGATTAATTACAGTACATTAAGACAATTATAAGTTTGCATTATCTAACTAAATATGCACTGTTGCATACATTTCAAGAAAATAAATCTGAACGTTGGATAAAGCCAGGTTCAAAATTCTTGTTTCATTTTGTTGACATACTAGAGTTAAAGGATTTTATAAGGGGCATTTTAGATTTTGGTTAGGTTCTTTTTATCACTCCATAAATTAGAAAATACTGTCAACAGACAGAAAAAAAATTTTTTTGGAATAAAATGTTATATAAATCAGTGTAAATGATTTATAAACAAACGCCTCAGTAAAAACTTTTAGAATATAGAGAGGAATAAAACTGCTAAGTTTGGTGTAGTTAAGTGCTGCTGAAGTGAAGAAAAATCTCATGGTCCTTTAAAGATATGGATTTTCACCATGTTTTTAGGAATAAAATGTTATATAAATCAATGTGAAAGAAATATGAACAACCCCCTCAGTAAAAACCTTCAGATTATAGAGAGGACTAAAAATGCTAAATTTGGTGTTTGTAAGTGCTGCTGAAATGAAAAAAAAACTTTTAAAAATATGCGTTGTAATTGAAATCTACAGATGCGAATAGATAAAGTGCAATAATAAACTCAAGGTGAGTGATGCATGAACAAACCCTTCATCAAAAACCTTCAGAATATAGAGAGGAATAAAACTGCTAAATTTGGAGTATGTATGTGCTGCTGAAGTGGAGAAAAACACTTTAAAGATAATGTATTGTAATTGAAATCTACAGATGCAAATAGATAAATTGCAATAAAATTTAACGCTTAAATGTGTATTTCAAATTTCATCCTTCAAGTTTGAAGGATATTTTCTATAGAAGCAAAATAGACCAAAATCTCAAAATTTGAGTAGTGCATGAAAAAACTATAGTTTTGCCTGTAGTGTCTTGTCTTTGCTTCTCAAGTAAATATATCTTGATTTAAAAATGTTTAGATATTAGTGCTGTCAAACGATTAATCGCGATTAATCACATCCAAAATAAAAGTTTTTGTTTGCATAATATATGTGTGTACTGTGTCCATTTATTATGTATATATAAATACATACACATACAGTATATATTTCAAAAATATTTACATGTATTTACATGTATATATTTATATTCATATCAATTATATTTTATATAAATATTAGTGCTGCACAACGATTATAAATTTTTTATTGTGATTAATCGCATGATTTTTCTGCGATTAATCGTGATTAATCCCATTATGCACAAAATTCAATAATGAATTCAAAAGTAGTGTATTGCGCACTTTTTCCATTTAAAAGTACTGCTATATGAACAAAGGTGCAATACCATTTGGTTTGCAAACACTTTAAACAAAAAAGTTGCTGAAAACTTGAATGAAAATTTTAAATTTTGTCATGGCATCTAACTTAAGTTTAAATTGAAGTACTACAATTATTAAAACTAAAACTGAAATAAATATAAATTAAAACTAAATACAAAAACTAATAGAAATCACAAAAGTATGCTAAAACTTAAACTAAAATTAAAGTGCCCCTATTATGGGTAATGAAAGGTTCA